ATTTGGCCAAAACCGCAGTACGTCAATCTGGGTTTTTTTAGCCATTGCATGAACTACACAAGAAGAATATCAAATAGGACTAAATTACTCTACTTTTTTTTCTTTTTTCTTTTTTTTTTTTGCATTTCAGGGTACCTTAAGCTTGGAAAGGTTCCAAGGAGACTCTTACAAGGAAATGACACCTTAATGCTACCTTTTCTTATGTTTATCTCTTCTATCAGAGTCAAGAAGACTTGCAGTACAACTGCTAATACTAATACTAAAATACTGAAAACATACTCTGTGATCTGCCAGTGATAAAAATAGAGCGATGGTGACGTTTTCAATTTCCGTTTGATTGACAGTATCGAAACAGGACAAGACGAAAATAAGAACATTCTGTATGAAAGGTAAATACTTTAAGCAGTGATCATAGCTGTTCTGTCAGTTCTTCTGGCGAGTTTTAAGCGTGGCATGAGCTTATATTTCTTAAATTATTCTCTCTCGTTCCAGCATATATGGATGATGTTATACAGAGTGTAGAGGAGGCTGAAAGCATCAATCCGGTGTATGAAGGCTTAATGTTACTTTGTCAGTTCTAAACGTAGCTTGGGCTTTGCTTCCATGATTGGGGATGGAAGTTGCGTTACAAGAGAATACCTGAATGCATCTTTCTAGTCTCAGTTATTCACATAAAATCGATATGTACAAATTTTTTCTTCTGGACATCGAGAACAAATTTAACTTTACCTTTTCCAGGCTGGGTTTCAAGGTCGGGCTTTATACAAGAGATTATATGATCTTTTCCTCTCTGAGAACTTTGTGCAACGATTCCACCATGCACTGCTTATCACTCATTTCATCAGTTAAAAGAGAGACTATAAATCATTGGACCAAGGTTGACACAGAAAGCTATTCATAAATTTTGGTGTTTGACATTATTTCAATAAGCACATTTTGATGTTTTTTATGTCATACAATCTGAGCACATTTGAAGGGAAGGGGAAAGTAATTGTAACATTATTTAACCGCCCTTTTCTCTTCTCAGTTTTCAGTATGGTCTAGTATGTGTGACTGCTGTGAACATAGCAAGACTTTTCTCTGACTCGGTTGCTATAAACTCGATTTTAAATTTTCGACTTGCTGGAAGATTACGTGGAACAGATTGATATCAAATTTTCCAGTGGAAAACGGTCATCATTGGTGTGGTCAGACAATACTTTTTTCGGACTTAACAACCATACCTGTTTGAATAGTGTATATTTTGATTAAGAAAAAAAAAAAAAACTGTGGTTGTTAAAAACGTCTAACTTACAGACAAAGAGTCTGATCTTGAATGGAACTCATTGAAGCTCATGAAATGGATCTCATATAAAATTATACCCAATTATACCAATTACCAAGTGCGTCACGTAGCCAAATGTTTAAAGCAGGGAAAATTCTAATCGATTTCTTGTTCCCTCGCAAAGGAATCTGTTGACAAATAGGTTATAATTCATAATTTTAAAAGTAAATAAGAAAACAATAGGGGGTTTTAGGTCCACGTTTGGTGTGTAAACCGCAAACGTCAAACCGCGGTTAGCAGTTTGAGGTTAGAAGTTAGAAGTTTGGAGATTTTCAGCTTTCTAGAGTGACGTTCGCTTCACCCGAGAAAAATCAACACGTGCGCCGCCATTCCACAAAGGATGGAGGAGATCCTTCACTTCAAACACAAAATGAGGCTAAAAAATTTGGTTTTCTAACGTTCCAAACGGATTGGTTAAACAAAAAAGAAGTCATCTTGCACATATTTTCAGGACATGCGAGAGAACTTTCGATCAGGAAGAAGAAAAGCGCAAAGGGAGTTGACCAACCTGAAACTGCCTTGCCCAATCCGAAGTTCGAACGTGACCGCTGGATTCTGGCCACTTGACTCCTTGCGGTTTGCGGTCACACGTATTCAGAACTGAAACGTGGATATAAAACACTCCAGTAAAGGAATTGACCTTTCCTTCGTCAGTTGCAAGATAATAGTTGATCACCGCTGAAACTGGCTTCTTGTGAAGAAAATTAAAAGACTCATAAACGCCTTGTTTCCGTTAAAATGGCAATGGACGGTTTATGACAACTCAGGCAACGGACTATAATTTGTCGAGTGAAGAAGAGAGGCAGGAACGGCGACGTTTTGCTTCAACACACCTCTGGATTATTCTGAAAGATTTTGAACTTAATCACCTAACTTGACTACATGATGTAAAGGATAAATGTTTTCATGCGTAACTGTAGGCGGACAGTTTATAAAAGTGTACAGCTTATAAAAGTGTTGCTATAAGAACATGTAGAACTACATGCCAGTAATGAATAAGGCACTAAAAGAGAGAAATGAATCTTCGTCTGAAAACTTCAAGCTAGGAAAACTGAATTTTAAAGAACCGAACTGAGATGTTCCTGTGCCCTTCGGGGCGTTACATATTAACACCATACTCAAATTTCACGTTTATATCGTTTATTTTGGCTGCTGCCTCCCACAGGAGGCGAAGCAACGTATGTTGTAGAGATGAGTGAGTGAGTGAGTGTAACAATAGAATTCCGATCTTGACTCAATTTTGACACGAGGTCTTCCAGTGCCACTTACTTTTGTTTGTTTTTTTCTGAGTATCTTAGTAATTTGACATTCGCACTCAACACACAATTAAAGTTTCTCCTTTTTGTGATTTCTAGACACGAGATCAGGGTCCAAGATTCAAATGAATGAACACGGATAGAATTGGGCAGAGTCTGCCATTTAAACACAATGCGGAACTTTCTAAATGATTAAATTAAATTTGCTTAAACATTTGATAAGACTACATAAAGTAAAATATAAAAATTTAAAAAAATGAAAGAAAGGATATCAAAGTCGCGAGAAAAATGGGAAAATCCCGTTCCCCTTCAAATAATGTATCTTCTATCGAGTCGGAAGGTCCTGGAAGCAATTGATTGAAACGTGACTGAGCAGCTCTAGAAATTAAGGAAGTAACGTCAGGAAGTCATG